GTCTGTAATCATACGAGTGATTAGCAAAGTCGGCCGACCGCGAAGCGGGAGTCCGATTTGTTTAAAATCACGAGTATGATTACAGACTGAATTGGACGACGTGAAGCCCTGTTACCAATTAATAAAAACTATGACAAAATTCGAGAAACGAACAACCATCGATTGAGCGCTGAACGATCTTAAAACGTCTTTATGAATGCTGAAAAACACAACAGTTTACTCAACAAAGTGCACGGCAACAGCGCGCGCAAAATGACGCGTACTGTCCAATTACAAGCATGACGCGTACACTGTCCAATTAATGCTCAAATCAGGCTGCTAGTTAACCGATTCCAGCTTGCAGCTAAGCTACAAATAGCCATTTTGCTGATCAGTATGACAACAGCAAAACGTTACTGAAGATGGACAGTAGAGAACAATTGAACAACTATTATGCTTTGCAGGATATTAATTAACTGCTCGATTACACGGCCAATTGATCAGTGTTTATTTCAGTTTTAAACTCTGTTCTGACCATTACTGCATTTCTTGAGAATGCTCTGACTCTAATTGCTCTTCACAAGGAGTCTTAACTGCATCCGCCGTCCAAACTCTTGCTAACTGAGAATTTAACCTTCCGTAAACAGAAGCAAATTACGACAATTAAAGTCATAATAAAGCAGGTATTCACTTCTATGCCTTTTTTGAGACTTGGACTTGCATTCATTTGCAAAGTAAGTAAAGGAGACCTTCTGTTAGCCAGCGTGGGAGGAAGGGAATTTGTCGGTCACTCAATTTTAAATAACAAAGAAACTGTAAAGTTGGAAAACGTTTCGTCTTTGCAACATATCGCAACATAGTTGGGCGTAACATGTTGCGCGCGTTTGGCCACCAGGTTGCAACGTGTGGCGACATGTTGGGTGTTGTTGGCTTAAATTTGAAAATGGTCAAACATTTGTGGATGTTGCATGATGTTGTAGTCGATTGGCCGGATTCGTGTAACAATGTTGCGCCAGGGCATGCGCACTAGTTCGATTTTCAATACCCAACATGTAGCAAAACGTCGCAACAGGGTGACCAAACGCGCGTTTGATTGGTTCTCAGTGCACCCTATTCCAGTTTAATGAATTGGCCGCCCGAGCAGCTAATTAAGGTGTTCAACAACAAAATAACAAAGTGTCTAACAACAAGATGTTCAATTTTCAAAGCGTCCAATATCAAAGCGTCTAATAACGAACTGTCCAATAATAGAATTGGCCTTATACTCGTTATTTCATAAATCGGAATCACGCTTCGCGTTCGGCTAATGTTGTTAATAACTCGTATGATTACACACCGACATGGACTTAACTCAGTCCTATTATCATAGAAAACGTGACGATTAAGTGCAAGGCGTTTCCTAACCCAGATGGGAGATGAGGGGATTCAAGGGGAGAACCCCGGCTTGAAACGTGTCAGAGTACGAAACTTGTAAATGGACAAATAAAATTAGTCCTCACACACGACTGAAATACATCGCACTGAAAACTTGAACTTGAAAATTGAGGTTAATCATTCTCGATACGATTCTTGATATTCCATTCTAGTAGATTTTAAGGAAAAATTTCAGAATCCATATAATTTAAAATGGTCTCGTTTTTAATTTACAAATATTCAATTATTTTCTCTCCTATCTGTACCTAGGTGGCACACACATGTGGGGCTTCGAATTCGACAATACCGCCACCATTATTTGTTTAGAAATCATATATCTAAAAATAACGACTAATTCGCTAATGCATCATCTAGGAAAATTCAATTTAGGATATCTGGAAGATTTTATAATTTGTGTCGTATTTTCTGAAGTTATAAAACATAAGCAAGTAAAAACTAACGATATAATGTCTCAACATTTCGGCGACCTCATGATGACATGCCCATTATCAAAGCATGAAGAAATGAGAGCGAGATCAAAAGAGGTAAGACCTGTAGATTTACATAAATGGAGTTAAGTAATAGATAATGGCGTCATGAGGTCGCCGAAACGTCGGGACATATATTGTATCGTTAGCTTTTACTTGCTTATGTATTTCAAATTAAGCATTGTAAATAAAAAAGAACATAATCTTCTACACTGAATAGATATACATCTTTCTCCATATTCACTTATGTTGCTTATCAGAAGCAAAAAAAATGCAGATATTTCTACCTAATAGTTTTTTCTTTCTCAACGGAAACAAAAACCAGTCAGTCTTCGTTTAATAGAAAACCAGCTGCTCGGCTGTAAATAGTTTGTCTTCTCAAACTGTCAGTGATTCGTGTGGGCGGTGTTGATATGTTTCAGCAAAGTTATACATAGCGTTTAGAATGTTTGTCAGTTGTTAAGAGGCCAAGTTTCGACAGTGATAGGTTATCAGTTCCAGCTTGCAGTTAGTCGGCGACGAAAAGCCATCGTCATGTCAATATGGCGACTGAAAACTTTACTGGAGATGGACAACAGAAAACATCTGAACAACTATTATGTTCGTCAGATTTAACCGTTGGACTGCACGGCCACATGGCATTTATTTCAGTAAACTCTTTCCTGTCCGCCACTGCATTTCCCGGGAATGCTCTGATTCTTATTGCTCTTCACAAGGAGTCTTCACATCATCCGCCGTCCAAACTTTTGCTTCGTTGCCTTGCAACAACTGATCTCTGTGTTGGTCTTGTTTCAGAGCCTCTCACTGTTACCTATTGGATGTCTATGGTGAATGAACATTGGAAGATTTGTCGCTACGTATACAAGGCAGCCTTTATAACAGGCCACTTATTGAGTGGAGTGTCTGTGTTGACACTGACTGCAATAAGCGTGGACAGACTTCTCGCCCTGTTGTTAGGATTGAGATACAGACAAGTTGTAACTTTGAAGCGAACCTACGTGATCATTATTACCTTTTGGATTGTTTCCGCTGCCCTTTCAGCAATGAAATGCTGTAGTGTTCTCATAACGATATGGTATTCCATTATAGGCACACTAGTGTGTCTAGTAACTTCTATCTTCTCTTACACGAAGGTTTTCTTCACCCTCCGTCATCGTCAATATCAAGTACCTAAACAACAGATTTCCCAACCCTTTCATATACCTTAACTTGTGAAATCCCTGCCCTTTTATACACCTGAAGCCTGAAAAAGGAACCCTTTTCGGGCAGAGCCTCCCCGTATGGGCCATTATATAGGGAGTAACATCCCCCCCGGGCCTAACTTAATGAAAGCGGAAAAAATTGTCAGTGTATTCAACGTGTCCCAGTTCATTGTAAATAAATCAACTCGATTGTCGGTGGCTTCCTCTACAACCTGTTTTATTTTTATCAACTGCTTTGCCTTTCGCCAGTTGTTCGTTTTTTCACGCTTGTTACGTTACTTTAATTCAGTTGAATTATTTCTTTCTGAATTGTTTTTTGTTCAGTCAAGAGCCTTTGGCTATAAACACCGGCTGACCGAGGGTAAATAATTGATTCAAAGACAATTTTTTTTATTGTGACTGATAATAAAAATGCTTTACATTCAACTGAGAAAAGCGAAAGAGAATTAAATATTACCAAAAATTTCTGCTGCTGCAGGTTTTTAATACAAGGAAAAAATGTCAGGTTCAGTGCTAATATATACCTAAGGCAAAATTACAATCAGAGAAATGCATGGTGGAGGTTGCTTTTATGTGAGGCATTAACTTATCAGTGAAGATCAAATTCTCAAGCTTCGCTCTATTGAGTAATTGAACTTATATTCATGTAAAATTTGAGAATTGAAGTGTTAAAAGTGTTGTGGTAGGATCGTTCGAGGTAAGCGTGCCGAGCATTCTTGGTAATAAAACTTCTCACACCGTGCTATTGGAAGCAGAGGTTTCTGAAGCAAACATCTTTCCTTCAAGATAACTCTTCTGTCTTAATTATTAAATGCAAATTATAATGTTTATTTATTGAATGGAGTTCGACTGACAAGGCTACAGCTGAAGGCTAGTTTTCACTGGCTCATCAGCAACACGATGTAACACACGTTGTGAAGAAGTGCCTGTTTTGTTAGGAACGTTTTCAGACAAATTAAAGGCACCGATTATCAACTTTTCTGCGTATGCTGCTCGTCAAAAGTACTGCCTTAGAACCAAAATGAGATAAACTTTATCAAAGAAATCTTTGCGAAAAATTTATGCAAATGAAAAAACAGGAAATTTTTTGCTCTCGACATATGTAAACATTTTTAAAACAGACAAATTTAGGGACTTCCTCGTTAGCAAGGCTCAATGTTTATCTGATGTCTGGGGTTTTTTTGTAGTTGTAAAAACACGGAAGGAATAAATTAAAATCACTGACTTTTGTACGTCATCGGAAAAGCTGATAGATTAAGCAAAGAAAAGGAAAAAAACAAACAAACAAACAAACAAACAAAGATACTTGAGTATTACATCTTAGTTTGAATAGAAGTGTTCTATTTTATTTTCAAAAAAAAAAAAATTTTAGAGTTGTCTAATACGGCTAAATTTCGTGAAAGTAACTTTATGATCGGCGTCATTTGTCTGAGATAGTTGATGCTGTGTAGTATCAGCTGTGCAAATTTGTAGTAGGAAGTTTGGAAACGAACCATTTGAACATTGTTGACGTTCGAAATGCCGGCACGGCGCTCGGTGAAAGTTGGGGGGAGGGGGTGGAGACGGGGAGACAGAGTGCGGGAGCCCGGGAGAATAGGGGGCGGAAAGCGGGAGAGGAAAGGGCGGGAAGTGGGAGTTTTAAGAAGGTAAGAATCATTTATTGAGCGTTAAAATACTTTCAAAAACAAGAATCCAAAATGTTTGTTGACTTACATTTAGCTTATTTTGAGACTTCTTGATCAGCGGAAAAATGAAAATTCGCCCTTAGGGTGAAAAACTGAGGCCTCCTTCCGCTAAAATTAGAAACCCTTTCGGCGGTGGCTACTTCATAGGTCATGAAATGTCACTGAAGCTGTCAAAAGACGTGAAAAATAGGAGCAAGGCTGAAAACAAAGGAAAAAAGGAAAGAAACGCCTATGGATTGGCCAGCTAAATGACAAGGATGTGTTATGAACCCCTTGTTTACAGGGGACGGGAGCAAGACGGACGGGAACGGGAGTCGGGAGATAAAGGAACCCCGCTGAAAGCGGTAATGGACGAAAAGGGATTGGAAAGAAATTGTCCTCTCCCCAGTTTGCACTCGTTATACGAAACCAAGATGGCGGCTTCAGTAGGGCTGAAACGCGGAAATATTCTCTCCCCAGTGAAGAGCAATTTACGGATCATTGACGGATTCAGTTTCGCTTTGTTATTTAACCAATCCAACCAGTCCAATTCTTCATTTTGTTCACATTCAGATAATGAGACACAATTTCGTTACGAATCATCACACTCCGAGGAATAACGAATCTGGAACGTACTGTTTTCACTGTTGGTCGCGAGGCTGTTTTGACAAATTGTGTCTGTTGCGTAAATATTGGACATTCATGGAGATATTTTGTGTCAAGAAATACTTTGAAGTCACTTGCCAAGATTAAACATGCCTCCGGGATTTCGGCGTAATTTCTGGGACAATTATGAGCCCGGTTCGCTGGTGAATGTTGATTGCTTTCTGCCAACCGGAGTGGTTATTCAACTTCAAGTTCGCACTGACGCACCTCTGGGAGAGATCAAGAATCGACTGTGGAGAGAAGCCAGCAGTTATCCCTTGTTTAATTTGCTCAAAGATGCATCAGCCTACGTGTTTGTGTGCGTGAATCAGAAAGGAAAACAGGAGGAACTCTTGGACGAATCGCGCCAGTTGATCGATGTGCGTCCTTTTAGACCGTTGTTGAAACTGATCCACAAAAAAGGTGACAACGAAGAGAAACTATTCAATTCTCACATCGGCAACCTGATCGGGAAGAGCTTGCATGAATTCCATCAAATGCAGGATACCGAAGTGGACGATTTCCGTCGAAAGTATCGTCAATTTGCGGAGAAAATTGCCTGCGAGCGGCGTCAGCTCGATTGGATGGGACGGGCGATGTACGCCTACCCTCCCGAAATTGAAACCACTGAGCCCGCTTCGCATATTGAAAACAATTTAATGGAAAGCAGGCGTTTCTTAGTCAATGTGGCCATCAAGAACAATCGAGCTTCAGTAAAAGACATGCACGTTTTCAACGTTCCTGCAGATGCGTTTCCAGAAGAGCTCTTGACGTTGGTGTTGAAGAGGCGAAGTGTTGTTATGGGAGATCTGGACCTTGAAAACCAGTCTGATTGGGTGTTGAAGATTGTTGGGCAAGAAAGTTATTTGTTGGGAAATTATTCACTATTGCAGTACACGGTAGGTAGCCCCTTTTAATGAGAGAAAGTAGCTATTACCAGAGTTTAAGGCTTTATTTCCTTATAGCCCCTTATTTAATTATGCACAGTCATACTCAATTATGCATACTTTGAATTTTGTGAGTCTTTTTGAATTCAAAGTTGCCATTTGATATACGATAATAAAAATTATGTAACAATGTGGAAATCTTTCTATATTGGCTGAGAAATAATTCATCAGTGAATGGTGTGTAGCGTACATGTATATGTACAATTTCTACACCATATTTGATAAGCAGGAAGTGAACTATTTGACTATAAGTATTCAGTTTTTCTTCCTGAAATCCTTCACTGCTCACTATGCAATTGCTAGAAACTTAACTTTTCACATGCAAGCAAAAGCAGTCTAGTGAACTATCAGGAGGACGAAAATATGTGAAATTTTCGTATAGTGGCATAGAATTATTTAGTTTTGTTTACTTGTAAATTTGCCAGTCCCATTAAATTCACGACTGCCATTTGTGTGTGATGATGGTAGAAATGAAACTGTCTCTATTTAATTTAGTATAGGAAATCTGGAAACATTTAATTTTTTTTTTTTTTGGTAAATCCATAATGTACAACATGAACATGAATACAACAATGACTCATTTAGACCTACAGAAGTGAAGTAATTTAATTGAAATCAGTGATCTTTAGTCATCAGAACTACATAAAATTTAATACATCCAAGAATTCAATACATCCAAGTTGTCCATTGTAACGATGTGACCACATGACATGAGCACATGACCATATGACATGACCACATGAAGTGTCTACAATTCCATAATAACTGTAGCAGGAGTCCATATCAGTGAGAGTTGTTTGCATACATTTTTTTGTAGTTTTTGCTTGGGATTTTAGCTTCTGTCCTTAATATAGTGGCTCTCCATAATTGTAAGGTGTCCACAAGGCAAGAGGTAATGGTAATTAGTTGTTTCTTATTTTGTTTCAGTACATTCGCACTTGTATATCTAAGGGTGTCAGACCAATGCTTTCACTTGTGCTTCGTTCCTCACTTCAAGTTGAAGTACTCGACATGCAGAGTAGGATAAGTCATTTTCCACAAGGGCCAGTTCCGCCACTACCCCAAAAATCATTGCCAGCAACTCTACAACTGTGGGATATTGAGACACATGTACGAATTAAGATTGTTTCTGCAGCTAATGTGAATGCAGGTGATTTAATGAAGGTATGCAAGCTATTTTTGTGTTTTTATTCCACCAGTAAAAAACATACAGTAAATTGTGTATCATTAGAAACCTTTTTCGTAATTTTTTATTAGGAGTCTGTTGTAGCCCAGTTCTCAATCTTCTTCAGTCATGATAGTTTTCAAAGGGCAAGCTGTAAGAAGCCATAGACATATTGGCTTCTTCCCCACTTTGCGTCTACTGGACCTTTAGGTCAGGCCACCCTTTAGATCTCCCTCCTTAACTTCCACTTGGAATTTTGCTGCTCACATTTCCAATGCATTCCTTGCACTACAGATGAGAAGACATCAACTTGATAAATTGTTTTTAAAATGTCAAGGAAACAACTTTCTTTGCATGCTGCATAAAAGATTGGTTTTGTCATGTAGATGGTTCAGTCTCATCTGATCATCTAGACATTGTAAAACTTAACTGTTCGTTAAAATCATATGGCTTAAACAATGATTTTTTATTATCACTGGTAATATTTTTCTGTAAAATAGACTTAAGTGTAGTTGTAGGTACAAGTACAATATTAACAATGTTGACAATGTGTAGAGGAGTTAAATTGGGAAGTGCACCTGCCATGATTTCGTGATCATTACATTATTGTTGATCATTTGGCTTTTTATGTGCAAACCTATTTAGGTTGGTGTGAGAGCAGGTATTTACCATGGTGCAGAAGCTCTGTGTGACATTACAAGCACAAGACCAGAGAGTGGATCAAATCCATCTTGGAACCAGTATTTGGACTTTGACTTAAATATGGTTGATATTCCTCGTATGGCACGCCTTTGCCTCGTTATTTATGGCATTTATGTTACTACAAAGAGGACCAGAAGAAGGACAAAAGAGGTAAAAATACATGTAATCGCACAACACACAAATCATCTTGGCCTTGACATAGACTTACAGTAAATCACATGGCCGCCATGGACAAGACTTGATATTATTATGAGAGACTTTATTATTATTATGAGAGGCCTGGTATTCAATGAGACTTCAATGAGGTCAATGAATGTATCAGCTTATAATCCATCAAATATTTTCTCTTGCTTGTGATTAGTTTAGGCGTGTCACGCGACTGAATATACCCCAGCTAAAACTGAGGAATATCCAAGTGATATTACCCAATTTTCAAAATGGTGCGTGTTGTGAAAAATATTATTTTGAAGGATAATAAACACACGAATTATTTTAGCCTCCCTTTCGAGCGAAAACAGGCTCTGATATTTGACCTTGGATATTATCTGTTCCTTAAAGCTCACAGTTTCCCTTTAGCTGCACTCTCAGAAAATTAATCGCTTCTCGGAACAGATAATGTCCGCGGACAAATATCCCAGCATGTTTTCGTGCCAAATGGAGGCTATTGTTTATATAATTTCCAAGTATTTACATGCACATGTCGATCATGTGATTTGTAATGTGGGCAGCATGTGTTTGTCGCATTTTGCTGGATCAGTGTAGTATGGGCAAAGTTGTGAATTAAGCCAACAATAATATTTCAGTTGGCTTTTTAAACCGATGAAGGTCAAAGTTGTTTGGCCAAAACATATTTCTATAAGTTGCTATATATAAACATTGTTGCAAGTTTTAACATTTCAGCTAGTTCAGAGTCAAATGCAACTTTGAATGTCACTGCACAGTATGAATTAAAGTGCCAGTGAAGTAAAAATAATTGCTGCTTATTTGAAAAGCCTTTCAAAATGAAAGAAGAACATTTGGCATTAATTTTTCCTTCTTGGAATATCTTCTTTTGTTTAAGAGATGTTTACATTTTTGTTTTTATATGCAAATGAGGAAAGTGATGACATCATAAATTGTTCCTCTAAAACAGTAAAATACCAAATCAAGAATATCTCTAGAAATATTAGAATGGTGTTATTCAAACTTGGCAACCAAGAAATGTACATCACAAAAGAAACAAATTTATGTGCTCCGTCGTGCCAACCCGTTGAATAATATTAAAGTTTGTTTTCTTTATTTTCATACGTTTATTTGAATCAATTTAACCATCCGTTCACGATCAGTAAGGTTGTTAATTGTTTTAAAATATTGTCTGATCTCTATTGTGCAGGGGATGTTCGTGGAATTTTGAAATTATGGACCAAGATACTCTCCCACTTTAAATATTGCCTGAGTGTCAAACCATTTTTTGTCTTTTTAGGAAATCATTCCAATGGCATGGGTTAACACGACCCTATTTGATTACCAGGGTAAACTACGGCAGGGTCCATTGAAGCTCTTTGCGTGGGCTGTACCTGAAACAATGGCAGATCAACTCAATCCAGTTGGTACAGTGGTCTCCAATCTCAACACTACTACCTCAGTCTCACTCAACATTGAATTTCCAAGCTACTGCCATGCTGTTGTGTATCCGTCATTCGACATCGTAAGAAGAGTGTTAAATGTGTAATTTGGAGTAGGATACATGGATTTTATTGTGAAATTTCAAAACTCCATGAGGCCCAGTCTTGTCCCGAGAGCCCCTGCCCATCTAATAGCTGGCAAGGCCTTGGCACAAGGTGACTCTGAAAGAGAAGTCATTTTTAACCAGAAGTGGCATTCACATGTTTCATTTTATGCAGGAAAGTCACCAAAAATTATTATATGAAAGGAGACTTGATGGACAATTTCAAGTTTGGGCCTGAAAGGGGTTTCTGTTGAAAGTTCTGTTTTATGTGTCTGTAGGTTGCTGAACTGGCCGCAGGAGTAACTGACGCCAAGATTTTTGTAAGTATCCTTAACAAATCAACTGTATTTTGGTGTACCCTTGTATAAATAACATAAATGACATCATAAAATGTTCAAAACTCAAGTGGAACCAGAAGTTGCAGGCGAGTGGTTTCACTGCAAAATTTTATGTTCTTGTATGAGAAAATTCCCTCACTTATCATACATGTAACAACATTATATTAGAACCACACACTTGAAAGTGCCAGTTACTAGAAGAAATGCTGTTGCAGCCCAAGTGTTAACAGTTATAATAAAATATGTAGTGAAATCTTGTGGGCAGTGATTTCCATACAGAAAGTCTGAAAGCTGATATTCTCCCAATTGTGGACATCCTAGTGTTGTAGTAAATAAATTATAATTACACTGTAAATATAATTTATTATAATAATTCAGTTTGTTCAATAAACCTATCAATACAGGGAGGAGCAGATGAAACATTGCTTGAACAACTAAGGCAGGTTGTAGACCGTGAGCCTTTGGCAGTGATCTTTGATCAAGAAAAGGAGCTTGTTTGGGAGAGGAGGTTTGTGTTTTTGATCTTTTGTCATCTTTGAAAATCACGGTATTAAAAAATAAAAAACGCAAATCTCTTGCATTAAATTGAAGAAGTTTTGGCAAGTACAGTATAACATTGTGGGAGGTGTGGTGGCCTCATGGTTAGTGCGCTCGTCTACAGATCTAGCGGTCTGGGTTCAAATCCTGCCTGGGGACATTGTGTTGTGTTCTTGGGCAAGACGCTTTACTCTCACAGTGCCTCTCTCCACCCAGGTGTATAAATGGGTACTCACGAACTTAATGCTCGAGGTAACCTTGCGATGGACTAGCATCCCATCCAGGGGGGAGTAGAAATGCCCCCAGTTGTTTCATGTTACTGAAACCAGGATTAAAGCTCTGGTCTGATGGGCCGCTTGGCTTGATGCAGACTTTACCTTACAGTATAACTTTATATTAATTATTATTTGGTATAACTCATACTGCTGTTGTTTTGTGGTCCCAGAATAACTATCACATGACTGTTCTTGCAGAATTGACTGTCGAGAACATTTCCCACACGCTCTAGCAAAATTGTTGTGCTGTGTGAAATGGAACAGAAAGGAAGATGTTGCTTTGGTAATGAACAAGCGTTTTCTAACTTGTACCCTACCAATAAGCACTATATTAAATGCCATTAAATAAAATGATGAGAAGAAAGATTAAGAATATTGTCAATCGACGTTTCAATGCATCAAGCATCATTCCCAAGACTGAGGTCATTAATCCTAGTATCAAAGTTGTCATTTACTGGTTGAGCTTGAAATGGACTGCATTCCAGTATGCGTGGATTATGTGAATGTGCTAATCATCGGAGAATAGTTTTGCATGGAGCGAGTCAGACTGCACGTTGAGTGATGGGCACTGAATAAATGCCAGGTTTAAATAAACATTGCCAAATTTGACAAGGTCAAGATTTGAATAACTACTCAAAGGTTTAATTAATCTAGAAAATCTGAAAATTATGACCAGTGAGTTAATGTATTGTGACTGACACCTGCATTTTGGACATATTGATCACAATGTTTATAATTTTTAACCCAGCTAAGAGCTGATACAAGCTATTTCCATTGTCAACATGAAATAATGGGTCTAGGTATGTTAAAAATTATCAAATGTAAAAAAAAAGTTGGTGATTGAGCACTGGTAACATTTTTATGAATCTAAGGTAGTGTGAGATGAAAACTATGTTCTAATTAAACATGACTTAGTGAGTGTTTTGTGTTTCACCTAAGTACATGCATATGGACTTGTATTTCCTAACATGAAGAGAGGTGGAAAACAGTACGGACACAAAAGAAATTATGAAACTACATGTATCCTAATTATTAAAGGGGTATAGAATGGTCCCATTTGATTTAAAAGTGGTTGCAAAATTTGGCCTTTTCTTGAATTGCTCACAAAAATTAGATGAGTGCTCACTTGCTCATGCTCACAAAATTTTTGCCACTGCTCACATGCTCGAATTCTTGTTAAAATGTGCTTGATCCCTTATGGCAAAAGTGGAAAACATTAGGGAAGCATACACGTGCTATGAATGTTTCTGGAAACATGCTTCCTCATTTTGCTGACGTTTGAAACTGACGCATGTAAGAATTCTTCACGAAAGCCACCCACAAAGATAGAGCTTAGGCTAGCAGAAAATTTATGAAGTGCTCGCTGCTTGCCATCTATATTATGTTTCTAAAGTGCTTGCTGCTGGCAAGACAAACTTGATCACTGCTCGTACTCACAAAAATAAACAAACTGCTTGCATGCTCGCAAAGACCATTTGATACCCCTTATTAAGAGCACATTATCAAATGTTGTCATGGTTGTTATCCTTTTGTTTTAATGCAATGAATAATCATTATCAGATGAGTGTGTTTTATGTGGACATGTTCTGTCATGTTATGCTTGTTTTTAAATATATTAAGTGAAACTGTCCTCACATATATCTTTTTTCCTTTGAACATGACAATTTAATGTAACTATCATGTAACTATGCTTTCAGATGCAGATTGTGCTTCCAACTTGGCCCAGGCTGGACCCAGAGCAGGCTTTAGAACTGTTGGATTTCACATATGCTGACCAGGAAGTAAGGAAGATTGCTGTGCAGTGCATTGAAAACATGAGGTGGGTATTTTCTGCAATCCCAAATTTTGTATATTTACCTTACCATCCTGTGGTGACATAGCAATCATTGACATGGTTAGCTCTTATTAACTGAGCTTAGTTGGTCTGTATGGCAGAATATTAACCAAGGTTGTGAGTACAGTGTGCACATGACCGAGTTCAAGATTCTCCCATACAGACCAACTAAGCTCGGTTAAGATGTTTCTTATATGGTCAACAAGAACAGTTTAATTCGTTAATGAAACTGGTTTGTACTAGCTGGCATTTTGCTTATGAACGGTGATGAGCTAAACTTGTTTGCTCGTCCTCTTTACACATCAGCCTTTTTGGCACTTCCATAAATAAATGATGTTAGAAGAAAATAGTCAATATTTTTGCATTTTAGTTTGCAACTTTTTCATTGCAAGACATTACTGGTCTAGATGGGAAAATCTAGACCGCTTTAAACATTGATTTCATCCAATCAAATTCGGGAATTCAGTAGTTCCCAGTCTTCCTGAGACACAGCCATCTAATAGCGGAGCCCCATACTCATATAGGAAAGAAAAGGAAACCCGTGAGTTGATTTTCTCATGGTTATCATGGCTAGAGGTATTGCTCGTGGGCGCACGACAACGACGACGACAACGGAGTCGCACAACATGACGGCCATACTCCAAATAATGGGTTGACAGAGACATGCAGCCTTGGTTTACCATGCACTTCTTTGATATTGGACATCCATGTTATGATCTATTGATACCTGTCAAAACAAGGTATCCACTGACCAGTATCACGTGACTATATCGCCGGCTCAAGTTTACAGCTCATCGAGGTCGCATGTTTTTTTGAAGTTGACTGCTGACCAAGTGCTGGTTTCAATTGGATCGCGGGCTCATCTCAGGTTAACTTGTTGAAAACAGGGCAGGATTGTTCGGAAGCCGGTTAATGCTAGTTAACCCAGAGTTAAAAGTTAAACGAATTATAACTTTTTCTTCTATACAAATGTTGTTTGCTGCTTTGTTTTGTGTATATAGTGATTATTAATACTCAAAACAGAAGGCCAGACAATATACAGAAAACCTCAACGCAAAGTTTCAAAACTCAAATCAAAATTCTACCTTTTCCTGGGTTATTTGGCTCTGAACAACCCGGCCCAGGAGCTACGCTTTTAGGCTGGCCTAAATCTATATATGATGATATATGATGAGGGAGTGCATTGGCCGTATTATAATGAGCTCTGTGTTGTATTTTTGGGTAAGACGTTTTACTCCTTCAGTGCCTCTTCCTGCATTCTGTAGGTGTAAAGGAGAGGGTGGCAATTAAATGCACCCCATGCACCCAGAGAAGAAGAGAAATACTCCTAGCCATAACTTGGCTAGCGTAAGACCTGAGAATTTCGTACGGGTTAAGACTGCTATATTTTTCCAGTGTTACTTCTTTGCCATTCCCACGTATGCTGTAATCATTGCCAATTCAATACCTTTTTGCCTCAACTTTGTTTTGCAGCGACAGGGAAATTTCACAATACCTTCTACAGCTAGTCCAGGTAAACCTTAAATTTTGTTACACTTACTGAGTTGATTTCATTTGATCCTTTGGTCAGTTGGCATCTGATTTGTCTTATCAGTATCAATGGACTTTCTTCTTTCTTTCTTTCTTTTTTCTTCTTTCCTCTTTTTATTTAATGAAATAATTTAAGTCTGAATATGAGCTTTTTTTGCATTTTTGTTGTCATGTCTGCAGGTTCTTAAATATGAATCGTACCTAGATAATGACTTGGCAGAATTTTTACTCAGAAGAGCTCTTAAGAATCAGCACTTTGGACATCAGTTGTTTTGGTTCCTCAGGTACAAATAAACTACCGTATTTTTAGTATTAGCATTAGTCTTAGGCTCTCTTGCATTCACGAGCACTTGTGAAAGATAACAGATTTCTTGTTTACAACCGACTGTAAGTGAAGTCTCTCATAAAGTGACGAACTGTCTGTCAGTAATCTTGCCGATCTTGGAAAACCATATTGTATAGAGAAGTAACAGTATGGCCACTGTAAGTTGTCAAATCAAATCCTCCACCCTACCGTTATCTGAATTTGTTCTCGGTAGTCCCAAGTTCAACTCCTCGGCCGTGCTGTGTAAATAGCCAACTGGTCAGCGTACCACCAGTTGGGATTCTTACATGTAATAGTTTATGTTCCATTAGCAATATTTGTTTATTTATTTACAGTGTCCCCTATTGGCACAACATTACTAAATTTATTTATTGATTGATTTGTTTATTTATTATTATTTTGTCTCCTCAGAGCTGAAATGGAGAACCCAGAAGTATCAGTAAGGTTTGGTCTGATGTTAGAGGCTTACTGTCGTGGTGCCCCGTCACACATGAAAAGCCTGCAGCGTCAGGTTAGTATGGGTTTTGTGTGAACACACCCATCAGGGGAAAGAATTACAGGCTGAATCTTGATACTAGTTGAACCTGTCTTTCCATACTGTTGATACTGGGCGTCTGTTGAAATGGCTTTTTTTTTTCAGGCCGTTGCACGCGCCGTTGGTTTCAGCTGCGGGTTCAAACAAAGTGATCACGTCATGACAAACATCTTGGCCACAGTTTGCGGAACAACTTTCGCAAATTCCTCAAAAGTAGCGAGGTCGTGGCAAATCTTATCAATTCGAACGCGCTAGAAAGTACGAAACTCTGCAACAAACTTGTAAACAAACTGTGAAGCACCTTCCCCGTTCACTGACTTCACGCATCACACGATCATAAAATTCGTCATCACGTGGTTACAGTACTGTTTTTTTTTTTTGAATCCGTGAATGAAACCAATGGTGCATTCAACGGCCTGAAAAAAAAAAAAACCATTTCCACACACGTCTGGGATCAATAGTACACTGGTTGGCACTCTGCTACTGAGCTACAGAGGACTTGTAAGAGCAGGAGAGGCACTGTGAGATTAAAGTGACTTGCCCAAGAATACAACACGTTGGCCCCGGCCACGGCTCGAACGGACCGCTCAATCCGGAGTCGAGCGCACTAAGCATGCGGTCTCCATGCCTCCACCAATATACCCGTAGATGATAAAGGATGCAAGTGAATATATGAACATTTAATTTTTTTCAGGCCCATGCTCTTAGCAAGATGAAGGCTGTTACTGAGCTACTGCAGCTTATGGAGAAGGTATTGATGACAGTTTCTGGTGTTGTTAGCAATAATGTTAGCGTTAAAAAAAAAACAGATGAACCCCAAAGCGTATTACGATCTGTTCTATTTTGTTTCCCGAAAATTTTAATATTTGCTCTCGAGGGACCAGTCATAAGGTGATTTGCTATATAGCACAATAAAGACGTGGGAAGAACTCATGTGTAAAACAGCAGTCGTCGGTCGACATTCGCGGGTGACAGTGCACATGAAACCCTCTGACGTCATAAGCCTGGTTTTCACTAGCGACGCAAGCGCAAGTACAAGCGCAAACATAGTACTTCTTATTTCCCCGTGAAAATGGCCTTGACGCAGGCATAAGAAAAGCGCAAACACAAGCACATGGGTCGAAATTTTTCCTTTTTCTTGTGCTTGAGCTTATGCTTGCGTTTGCGCTGCAACAAGTGAAAACGAAATACCGCTCAAGCATAAGGCAAACACAACGATATTTACCACACGTGGTTATGTTTGGGCAATGAAAACACTGGATCCAGATTAACTCGCGCGTAAACAATTTTTCAAAATGGCGGAAGGTTCGGATGATTTTGCTTGTGCTTGTGTTTGTGTCGAATTTCATTTTCACTTGGGTCATCCCTACTGCTTACATTTGTGCTTGCGCTTGTGCTTACCTCGCTAGTGAAAACCAGGCTATAGAGTTTTCAGTGTTGTTGCCTTCTTCTAATAAGCGCTCGCCTAGAGGCATTTGGCGGGAAACAGCCGTATTGTTGAATGTGATGTGACCTCAAAGTAGCAAATGAGAGCGTATGCTGGTGGGAAAGAAATATAGAGCAATCGTTGCAGACCATGGGGTATCCACGCCATCACATACCTCAGGCAGTTCTTTGTCTCTTTGTTTCACCATTTTTCCGAAATTTAATCCATTGGATTTTTTTTCCTAAAGAACCATTTTGGTCTAGTCTTGCACCTATGAAAGCCGAAAAGCTAACGGTAAATGAAACAAGACTTTCCAAAACAAAACTAGTGAGAAAATGGCACTATCTTTTCAGGAGTTCTTTTTTCTTCTGGAAATTTCCCACTGAGTTAACCGAAAAGTCCTGTTCCATTTACATTCCAACCGGAATTACCGGAACGTTTTGGTAAATGGACAACGACCTCTGTGCCTTGTCCCGATGCCTGCCTACTCTAGGAAGATGGTTCCTCTATTTTTGCAGGCTGTAACGTAAGGCTTGAAGTATTAACCATAACTCAATACTGGAGTGACGCCTCCACTAGGAGTTAAGCATGCAATACTGAAATGTTAGACAAATCTTTTCACTTCAGGACTGAAAATTTACTAAAGTCGATGACATTTAAACTGGAACAAACAAACAGTGAAGTAGTATTGCAACCTAACTGAAACTAAACACCGTGGAATGACTACCGATTTACTAACACTAGCATTCCCTCCAGCGGGGAAGGTGGTGATGATTCAATTCTCTTCATGCCACGAAGATTGGAATAAGCTCAGTGGTCCAGTGGTATTGGGCACTTGAACCTTGGGTCAGACTTTATTTTTCAAGGCTATTTAAGTTGTTAGATGCTTTGATATTTATGTTGATGGCTTAGTGTGGTTTTCAATTTGGTTTTCTTCTTCTTCGTTTTCAGGACAAAAGGGACAAGAATTTAAAAGCTATGAAAGGACTCCTACGACAAAAAACTTACCAGTTGGCACTATCCAAAATTAGCTCTCCTCTTGATCCAAGCTACGAGCTGCGAGAGTTAAAGTATGAGATGTCATTCTTGTTAAGTACATGGCTTTTGATGTATTTTGCTTAAAAATGGCTGCTGTAATAGCTTTTCATTAGATCGGGTTTCTCTTGAGCGTCCAAAGCTATAATCCATCAAATATTTTCGCTCGCGCGCGATCGGTCAAATCGCGTCACGTGACTGAATGTACCCCGTTTAAACTGGGGAATATTCGAGTGATATTCCCCAATTTTCAAACTTGCGCTTGCTGCCAAAAATATATGAAGGATAAACACGATAGCCTCCATTTGGCGCGACAATATGGGTGGATATTCGTCCTTGGACATTATCTGTTTCTCAAAGCTCACAGGTTTTCTCGAGCTACGCTCGCAGCAATCTGTTGGCTTCTCGGAACAGATAATGTGCGCAGACAAATGCCTTAGCATATTCTCGCGCCAATAATTAATTAATTAACTAACTAACTAACTAACTAACTAACTAACTAACTAACTAACTAACTAACTAACTAACTAACTAAATAAATAAATAAATAAATGAATAAATAAACAAATACATTATTGAGTATAATAGAAACAAATGAAAACTCTCCATAAACCAAACATCTCCTTTAACTTCGCGTACAATTGGTATTAACTAGTGTCAAATAGTTAAGTCATTCATCCCCATGACCTTTGCCCGGTAGTGGAAGGTGGTTGTACAATGAGGGATTTAGGGTTATTACTGTAATGCCAAGCTTGAATTCACTTAAATTTTTCCCATGTCTCTGAACGCATTGGAAGCTTATAACGGAAGATAACCTACAATCCTGGCTAAAATTCTCGGGATAATCCTTGCGCTTCTAGTGATTGTACAGCTCACCTAACAGAGAAATGCATATACCCTCCCTCCCTCCCCCCTTACAATGTTGTCCATATAGGAAGAATTCTATCCACTAGCGAACANGGAGTAGTAACTAAATTAAGGCTCGTTTAATTAATAGACAAACATTCATGTTTCTGTTCACGATATAAGTTAGGTGTCCCAAGGACTTTTGGCGAGGATTGTAGCTCTCTACACACATTGAAATATGATATAGTGCTAGATTATCGTGAGCTCATGTCAAGTTTGACATGAATTAAGTTTGTATTTCTTTATATTGGAACTCTGCCTTGTTTTCTCTGTCAGTGTTGAAGATTGCAAGTTTATGGATTCAAAAATGCGGCCACTGTTTTTAGTGTTTAAAAACTGGGATGACTTGGGTGACCTTGTACGCATTATCTTCAAGAATGGCGATGGTGAGTGTGATATCATTTGATTGACTGGTTGGAACGTTATTGAAGAGGTGTACATGAAATCTTGTTCATAGCCATGCTTGTCACACAACACTGCGTGATAAACCAAGTAACGCCGGCAAAGGAGACTTCAGTTTCTCCCGAATAATTGGCACACTTTGGGGCTCAAATCATGTAGCCATGTTTGTCCCTCTCTCTCGGGCCCTCTCTCCTAGTGCGTGCCCGCCCATAACTTTGAGTAAAACATTTTCCCGTTGTCCCTTCAGCGATGAATGAAAGAAGAGCCCAATTAACTGTAGTTAATCCACTTGACGACCTGAAATAAACTCGGTCTGTTTGTGTCATCCAGATCTTCGTCAGGACATGTTAACGTTACAAATGTTTAAAATCATGGACAGGATCTGGCAGAATGAAGGCCTGGATTTAGGGTAAGTTTTGCGACAATTTTAATGGCGATAATTTCCAAATTATTTTAATTCTGAAATTGTTTTAGCATAACTTAGTGGCTGCTCTATCAAACAAAAACATATATTTGTATTTCAGGAAAACGTCATGAAAACTTCATGAAAAGGCGAACTTGAAACTTTAAGATTAACCAGCTCTGTAGTTAGACCGCTTTTGTGTAGCCAGTCAGATTCTGTGTTTACCTGAATCAGTCAATGTGTTATGGTAATTGCAACTTTGCTCTCACTTCAACAATTGACCTTTCATCTTCATCTTTCTTGGCGCATTTTGTGTAAAACTGTAGAATTTACAATTTTAGCGCCGTTTCTTCAAAAATTCAACCAAAGGGCACTGATAATCCTTGTTTAAAAAGAAAATCACTCCCTGTTGCTTGTGGTAGAACAGTATGTACGGCGCATGCGTAATGCCCTTGCATAACTCACGAGATTACTACTGGTTCCCTTTGACTTGCAGTAAGTCTTTCTTGTTAATGGGATTCACTTGACATTTGTAGAGATGACTATAAAATAAACAAGAAGATCTGTTAGATCTTATAACCGCGCTTTTAAAATTTAACTGTTTTCTTAGCGCTACAGTCCCAACGCAGTGTACATTCCAAAGCAATCCTTGATGATTCATTGATTACTGTAGACACCACATTACTTGATCAACACAAACTGTATTATTGCACCATCAGT